CCACAAGATTGGCAGTGTTCAACAACTTTGTTCATCACAAGTGCCAATACAGGAGTGCAGAGACCGCTGGAACTTGTATGCCGGAAGCAGAACTTTTCCTACAGCTTAGCTGAGATCAAACTACACAGCCCAGGAGCAATTGCAGGGGGCGGAAGCATATAAAAGAAAAAGCCTTGGAACATGAGGGGGAGGGATAGAGAGACTTGGCTGCTGTACGGATGCATGTGGGAACCACGTGCCAGAATAGCCACAAGTGCCATCTGATGCTAGGTGACCTGAGAAGGCAGAACTGGTGGAGAACTGCTCATTGCTGGATCGGGAGGTCTTCATCATTCATCATCACAGCCACTTACCAGGGGGCCTCCAGCCAGTATGTTCATATTAATGCTCTGCTTTGCATAAGGGACCTTGTGAGAGGGTTGCTAGCCCACTTTTCACTACTCTTGCTGCAAATGCGTTTGCTATTCAAGCCAGGGCACTGTATAGTACAAGCCTCTGCAATCAATACAGCTTCCATAATCCATCTACTGCTAGAGTCTGCCATTCCTATGTAATCTGCCCATGTGCCAGAGCACATCCATTGATGCAGTCTATCCTTCCTAACCGCAAATACTGCCTGCAGGTTATCTGAATGAATTAACCCGGCCATCCCCTGCTAGGCAGAACTCTGTATTTACTTAACACAAGTTTAAGCCATCTAAGGGAAAGGATTAGCCACTCGACTTTCTCTATGTAAAGGGACATACTCTTCAACTGACTTGTCAGCAAAAAAAAGAACAAAAACAAGAAAAAAAAACAACCAACAAAGTGAGAGCTCTTGTTACAAGTCAATATTCTTTAAGTGACCTTTTTCTCCTATTTCACAAAGTAAGGAGAACTCTGCCAATTACTTTACCTTCTTCACTGTGTGCCAACGTAAAGGCCCCAACTAAAACCGGCAGAAGAACCCCTCAATACATAGCTTATGTATTGGCGGGGGAAGCACTACACTTCAATCCATGCTGAGCACAGAGGCTATATGCATAGCCAGTGAAAATACACTTCACCCACAGCCAGAGTACACACACAGGCCCTACACACACAGGCGGAGCACATATTAGATATTGCACACACACAGCCAGAACATACATGGACACTGCATACACAGCCACATAAAAAACACTGACACATCACACACAAGCAGATAACACAAAGATCCTACACACACTGGCAGAGCACACGCAGATATTACACCACACAGACTTAGCACAGACATACAATGCATGCACATCATCCAGATCATATACAGATGCTGCACTCACAACACGCAGACACTTTCATACAGAGCAAATTAACATGCAGAGAGACATGCACACATAGGCAGAGCACACACCAATTACAACACACAGGCAGAGCACACAAGGCAGAGCACACACAAATACTGCACAACACGGCAGAGCACACACAAATACTGCACACATAGGCAGAGCACACACAAATACTGCACACGTAGAGGCAGAGCACCACGCAAATACTGCACACATAGGCAGAGCACAACACAAATTTACTGCGAGCAGATACAGGAGAGCACACACTAAATACTGCACATACAGGCAGAGCACACCCAACATACTGTACACGCAGGCAGAGCAACACCCAAATACGTGCACATACAGCAGAGCACACACACAATACTGTACACGCAGGCAGAGCACACAATGCAGTAAAATACTGGCACACATAGGCAGAGCACACACACAATACTGCACACACAGACAGAACACACACAAATACTAACGTGCACAGGCAAGAGCACACGACATATAAGTGCGCGCACAGGCAGAGCACCCACAAACAATACAACAACATTCAGAGCACACAACAAATTACTGCACCACAGGCAGAGCACACACCAATACTGACAAGATAGGCAGAGCACACACAAATATTTGCACACACAGGCAGTAAGCACATAAATACCTACCACAGGCAAAGCACCCCCCCACAAATACTGGCCCACGCCCCAGAGCAAGACACAAAAACTCACAAGATAGGCAACGCACACACAAATATTGACACACAGGCAGACACACAACAAATAACATAACACAAAGGAAGAACACACAAATACTACACACAGGCAGAAGCACACACAAATACTGCACCACAGGCAGAGCACATCACAATTACTGCACACAGGCAGAGCACATCCAGCAACACTTACTGGCAACCGGTATCTTTAGTGTTGGGCACCCGGCTGTGACTGTGTGACAGGTCCCAGAAGACGCGCTCTGACCATTCACAAAGAGCGCAGCAATCTCGGAATCTCGCAGTGGTGGGCACACCGGCTGTCCACAGCAGGGTTGCCCAACTAAAGGGAGGACAACTCCGCGTAAGTGGCGGGAGAGGGTACCTGTCAAATTCAAGGCATCCGCTGTCCCCCTCCCACCCCAAGGTCCGCTGTCACTCTGGTCATCTCCTGTACTGTGTCAGCAGTCTACTGGTCATCTCCCTGTACTGTCGTACAGCAGTCTCTGGTCATCTCCTGTTTTCTGTGTCCGCAGTCTCTTGGTCAATCTCCTGTACTGTGTCCCCGCCGTCATCTTGGTCATCTCATGTGTCCACATCTCTGGGGCCCATCTCCTGTACTGTGTCCGCTCGTCTCTGGTCCATCTCCCAGTACTGTGTCCGCAAGTCTCTGTCATACTCACTGTACTGTGTCCGCAGTCTCTGGTCATCTCCTGTACTGTGTCCGCAGTCTCTATGTCATCTTCCTGTACTGTGTCCGCAGTCTCTGGTCATTCTCCATGTTACTGTGTCCCAGTCTATGGTCATCTCCTGTACTGTGTCCCAGTTCTCTGGTCATCTCCTGTACTGTGTCCGCCGTTCTATGGTCATCTCTCTGTACTGTGTCCGCAGTCTCTGGTCATCTCCCTGTACTGTGTCCGCATTCTCTGGTTCTTCTCCTGTTACTGTGTCCGCAGTCTCTTGTCATCTCCTTGTAACTTACAGTGTCCGCAGTCTCTGGTTCATCTCCTGTACTAGTGGTCCGCCGTCGTCAGGTCATCTCCTGTACTGTGTCGCAGTCTCTGGTCATCTCCTGTACTGTGTCCGCAGTCTCTGGTCATCTCCTGTATCTGTGTCCGCCAGTCCTCCTGGTAATCTCCTGTACTGTGTCCGCAGTCTCTGGTTCATCTTTTTCCTGTACTGTGTCCGCCAGTCTCTGGTCATCTCCTGTACTTTTGTGTCCGCAGTCCTCTGGTCATCTCCTGTAAACTGTGTCCGCAGTCTCTGGTCATCCTCATGTACTGTGTCCGCAGTTATTGCGTCATCTCCTGTACTGTGTCTGCAGTCTCTGGTCATCTCCTGTACTGTGTCCGCTGTCTCTGGTCATCTCTCCTGTACTGTGTCCGCAGTCCTTTGGTCATCTCCTGTACTGTGTCGCTCAGTCTGGTCCATCATCTGTACTGTTCATCTCTGGATCATCTGTTACTGGTCCGCAGTCTCTCGGTCATCTTCCGCAGTTACTGTGTCCTGCATCTCTGGTCTCTTCCTGTACTGTGGTCCCGCTGCAGTCTCTGGTCATCTCCTGTACTGTGTCCGCCTTCTGGTCATCATCTTGTACTGTGTCCCGCAGTCTCGGTTTCATCTCCTGTACTGTGTCCGCAGTCTCTGGTCATTCTCCTGTACTGTGTCCTCCCCGCCTTCCAGTCATCTCTGGTCATCTCCTGTCTACTGTGTCCGCAGTCTCTGGTCATCTCTGTCCTCGTACTGTGTCCGCTGTCTCTGGTCATCTCCTGGTACTGTGCCATGTGTCTCTGCAGGTCTACTGTTCCGTCATCTCTGTACTGTGTCCGCAGGGTTCTGATCATCTCCGTGTACTGTTTATGTCTGCAGTCTCTGGTCATCTCCTGTACTGTGTCCGCAGTCTCTGGTCATCTCCTGTACTGTGTCCGCAGTCCTCTGGTCATCTCCTGTACTGTGTCGCGCAGTTCCCTGGTCATTATCCTGTACTGTGTCTGCTGTCTCTGGTCATCTCCTGTACTGTGTCTGCCGTCTCTTTGTCATCTCCTGTACTATGTCCACAGCCTCTGATCATCTCCTGTACTGTTGTTCGCTAGTCTCTGGTCATGCTTCTGTACAATCTGCAGTCTCTGGTCATCTCCTGTACTGTGTTCGCTGTCTCTGCTCATCTCCTGTACTATGTCCACAGTCTTCATCTCCTGTACAATCTGCAGTCTCTGGTCATCTCCTGTACAATCTGCAGTCTCTGGTCATCTCCTGTACTGTGTTCGCTGTCTCTGGTCATCTCCTGTACAATCTGCAGTCTCTGGTCATCTCCATGTACTATGTCTGCAGTCTCCGGTCATCTCCTGTACTGTGTCCGCAGTCTCTGGTCATCTCCTGTACTTATGCTGCAGTCCATTGGTTCAGAATATTTTTTCAGAATTTTTTCTTGTTTTCCGACTCAAAAAACCTAGGTGCGTCTTATGGAGCGAAAAATACGGTACATGCACAGGCACGAGTGAACACACAATAGATAATACAAATGATCTAACAAGTGGCATAATTATTTAGATGTGTCTAGGGCAGCACTAATATGTTAAATACACAACTAGCAGAGCTTTATTTCTTAGCACTTGTGAACTATTGTCTAGGGCAATAGGGTTAGAGAGGTGAAGCACCAAGCCAGTACTTACAAATCATCACTTTCCTTATCCACCTCCAGGCATTGGTGGATAAATCAGCAAATGTGCTATAATGGGAAGAGGGTCCAAAAAAACCAGAGCAGTAAAGACTCTCTATAGCTCAGGGAACATGAACCCTTTTGTCCCTTCATTTGTCCTGTTGGTCTGCAGAATGAAAAGTAAACCCCTTTATAAATCAGACATCAGGCTACCTCCAGTAATAAATTTTTGCATAGTCTTTTTTTTACCAAAAATAATCAAACAACACCAGGGCATGGAGCTTATAAAAAAGGTGCGCGGTCATACTGGCGGTGGTCAGGAAACTGAGCGCAGGCAAGTATATGTAGCACCTCATTGTTTTCTACTCTTCTTGATGAATATCTATTTGACATGTTATTAGTAAGGGAAAGTCTGATCAATGTGGGAGGCTTCGGTCGGAGAAAATACAAATTCATTTTCACACTGTTACATTTGAGGAAATGTGTATTGCTACAACAGTTTTCTCCCCCCGTCGTCCGCTATGAGGATAACAAACCATTAAGTTGAGTTTCTTTGAATTGTTATGTAACATTTTCAGATATTTCTGGCAGTTCAAAGTCTTTCTAAGAGACTGTCCATTTTATATCATTGATTTCCTCTCTAACTCCGCTGGCAAAAAGGCATATTAGATGTGATCACTGAACAAAGGTGCTCTTTTCCAACATGCAGCGCTGGACAGAAAGATACATCTAAGGATTTTTATCAAAGAAAACACAGTTGGCATTTGATGGGAAACAGACAGACATCACTGTGCCATAAATGTAATTCAAGTGCTATACATAGACTAATACACGTTTAAGGCCCCGGATTATTTTTAGGAAAGTGATGATCCCAAACAATCTCCTAGAGAGAAAAAGGGTCAGTTCACCAAGAACAGCGTTAAAATGGAACTTTCACTCTTCCCTAGAATTCCTACAATGGAGTTCTTTCCACCTACCTTCACTACATTGGTAAATTCTTTTTGTAAAGCTTCTTCTTATTTCCCCAAAAAAACATTCCTGGAGCTTCTGCCTTTTCTCACCTTGGAAAGAATAATGTAGCGCAAGCCGAGCCGCATCCTCCTTGGATATCCACATCACGCATGCCAGGCTCTGGGCAATGAGCGCATTTGGGCCCAGATTATTCAGCCACACTGTGCATGGCATTATTAAAAACACGTCATCAGGGGTATCACGAAAGAGATAGCTGGCTCCTTATGACATTGGACAGGAAAGATGGTACCTCTTTGACCCAAGCATGGGAACAGCAGACGATGCAGGATTTTGCTGGGCTGCCGAGAATGTTTTTAAAGACATGTGAGTGGACAAGGTACAACCTGGATTGCAATAAGGGGGCAGTTAAGTTCCTTCTTTAAACAATCCAAACCCAAGTTCATATTTTTTGGGTTTTGGTAGATGCCAAATCTTTCTGGGATTCCATTGGTGACATCTCTATTATGTTTCAGTTCCTGAGTATGCATACTGCTGTGGGGGGGGGGGGGTTTCTCATTCCTTTCTTGATTGTTAAATTATTATTTTATTATGGAGAATTCAACCAGATGGTGCTGGACCATGCCAAAGGTGGGCAGAACACCCAAAACCCCCAATGTAAACAGAAACCGCATTTATGACCTTTTAACAGCAAACCCTTCAATGGAAAAAGAGTAATCACAGAGTAAGCCAGAGTGTCAAATGTTTTAATTTTCTAAATTGGCTATCACTCTCTGTAAATCAGGTTATACAATCTCCATACAATCCCTTTTAGAGTTACCGCAAACTTTCTTTAATTATGATGGCAAAACCTCAACAATCCATTCAATTTGGTTTAAAGAAGAATTTCAGCCATGATATATTTTTAGATAGTCCGTAGGCCTTGGACCATGTAACTATGTATATGCCATACCTAACTAATGCCCCTGGAAGTGGGAATCACTGTAATAGACAGTACTACTTTAATTATCTCCACTTGCTTCTAGGTCCCATGCTGATTGGCTAGCCTCATGCATTCTGAACACAGAGAGCCTGCTTCCCAGCATGGGTACATGTAGAGAATGCTTTGTGTTTTCTGAATGAATGCAAGGGAGAATGTCACCAGCACACCGAGGATCACCAATATGGGTCCAAAAGTTTTAATGAACGATCACATAGTTACAGCAAGGCAAACATTTTGGAGTCTCGCGGGACCCCTTCATCAGGCATGTGACCTGATGAAGGGGTCCTGCGAGACTCAGAAAAATTGCCTTGCTGTAAATATGTGATCCATTCATTAAACTTTTTGGACTCTATTGGGTGATCCTCGGTGTGCTGGTGACATTCTCCCTTGTTGATTTTGTTCAGTTCCAGCCGACGGTTGCTACAGCACCCACTTATACACACAACCATTTTTAATACGGGTACATGTGCGTTTGGATTGTAAACTTGCATTCTGAATGAATGCAACACGATCTATGATTGGACAAGGTGGAGAGGTGGGGCAATGACATCATGCTCTAGAGACATTGCAGCCCTAGAGATAGACAGGCCATTGTGAGTACTGTGCCACTGTGTAGAGGGGCTCTGATACGCTCTTTCTACTGCTGTAGTAGTTAGTCTGAGAGACACATGCTCTTCAGGAGAGGCTGGCTGCTGAGAGACACACATGGAAGAAAAATATATTTGAAATATATTTTAAAAATATTCTTCCCAAACATATTGGCATACATTTGAAATGCTACAATTTTGGCATATTCAATATATTTCAAAATATATTTCAATAAATATATATCTATTATGTATTATACTGTATGTTTGAAATGTGTTTTTATTACAAAATTATATGAAAAATATATTTTTAAAAATACATTTCAAATATACTGTATGTCTTTAAAAATACAAAATCTACAAATAAAAATAAAATCTAAAGAATATATTTTAAAAAATATACATTTTAAAATATATATTTTTTAAAATATGTTCTTCAGATTTTTTTAACATATAAAAAAGTAATTTTAAACATATATTTTTATATATATTTGTAAATGCATTCCAAACATGTAGATTTGTATTTTTAATGATATACAGTATATTTGAAATGTATTTTTAAAATATTTTTCATATATTTTGTTATTTTGTAATAAAAAATTTCAACATACAGTATATTGCCAAATTGTAGCATTTCAAATATATGTCAATATATTTTGGGAATAATATTTTTAAAAAATAATATTTCAAATATATTTTTCTTCCATATGGGGAGGACCATGTGCTGCATGTAC